TTTTTTATTCCAAACATCATTTTATAAGATCAACCAATATCAAAATACAGTTATATTCCTATCTATACAATAACAGACATGTACACATTGTAACTTCTCTCTGTTTATCTTTTTCAGTTTGCGGTTAACCACGACCACAAGATGAGGGCACGCCCAAGTACCACGTGGGGGCCACGTGGGGACCACGTGGACCAGAAACCGGAAGGCGGGACTAAGGACTGAATGGACGCTTCTGATTGGCTGAAAAATGGGCAAAGGGGGCGTGACCACCTGTCAAATTAAGTTTGATGAGAGGTGGTTTATCCTTTCTCTCTGGTGAGACTTTACTACATGATACTACAGTATATCATAATGCAGCTCCGTCTTTTTTTTTTAGGAGAGAATGCAAACGCTATTATGCAAAGCAACAAAAAATATATATAAAAATGTGAGTATTTTAGAAAAAAAAGTCCTAATGTGGCACTTAGGGAGTCTTGCTGTAAAGGGCCAAATATGCAGAGGGAAAACACACCTTTTCAAGTCCTTCATGTTTGTGTGAATAACAACACTAAGGGAATAAATCTCACAGCACGTTTAATAAGTCATTTGTGTGACTGAAATTCAAGTTACAGGTCTTAGACACCGGGCAGACCCACGTTACACTTTAGCATGTATTTAGGTTAAATGTTGTGGACATGAAGACATGCTTACTGTGTGAATCTAAACATGTCTCTCCCGACATCAAATGACATCACTGCTGATGTGACTTCACTCAGCGGCCTTGAATCATGAACCATTTTAGGAAAAAAGAACCGGGCAGGGGAACACATTGTCTCCCCGCTTCCTTTGTTATTGAAAATGTCCTAGCAGCATGGGAGTCCAGAGTTGTGGGACTGGACCTGACTGGGTCTGCCCCTGCCTTCTGATGATGAGGGAGGCTGGGACAGTCCGGGGGAATGGGCAGTGCTCCTGCTACCAGCTGCACACAGTGCAGGAGAGAGCACAGACTGAGCACAATTCAGCAGCAAGCCACTGAGAGAGAGAGAGGGGGATAGAGAGACCCTGAGCAACAGCGGCGCAGCCAAGGAGACCACAGAAACACTCTTCCCCCAAATCCCCAGCTCTGCCTAGAGAGAGAGAGAGAGAAGCAGCAGAGGCAAACAAAAGCCTCTCCTTTCAATTTCAGAGAAGAAGAAAAAAATTAACAATAGATTGCGTGAGATACAAACTCGAGGAGAAAGGCGTGACAGGACGACCAGACTGCGGTTTATGAACCGTCCAGCTACTAACACGAGGTGAGGGATTGGAGCGCAGCGCTGCATGAGTGATAAACGCATCCGGGAGAAGAACCGAGTACAACCAGGACCAGAGCAACTATGAGGATCACGTGGCTGCTGCTTTCACTTTGTGAGTCCAGTTTATTTTCCCAAATAACTATCGAGCACATCTGTGATGCTTCTCATGGCGACTCCGTGGGTGTTTGTGTTCCTCTCTGCTTAGAAGTTTTCTAAGTCTCTCCGTGCAGCATCCTCACTTTAAAGCTGCAGGGCACAGACATAGCGTCAACAGGGTAACGAAGCAACAGGTGCACACAAGAATAACCAGACTTTTTTTTAATCCCTGATGTTTTCTGATGTTTTACTTAAGTTAAAGTAGCAAAGCTTTAACGTAAAATAGTAAAGGTTCTCTTATAGCAGTCAAATGTAACGTAACAAAGCCAAAGCACTTTTTATGCACTGGTGGAAGTGGTTAATTAAATGTGCCAAAGAATGGGAGCGCATCCAAAAGGACGCTGGAGTTAAATGGTTTTTACCCATATGGCCCCAAACAGGGGCCTGTCAGGCCATGCTGTCAGAATTAGGAGTCTTTACAGTGCGCACTATATAAAAAGTCCTTTATTTAACATCCTAGTAGTATCAAAGTAAAAGCACTTCATCTGCAAAATATACTTCATTATATTTTATTGCCGATGCTGCGTAAGTAATATTTTAATGTTTTTGAGGTGAAGCTAATTTTAGATATTTTATACTGTAAGCAGTTTAATTTATAGCCTCAGAGTATACAGGATGTATAATGTTAATCTGCAAAGTAACTTGGGACTTTAATTGTCAGATAAATGGAGCAGGTAACTCAAAATTGTAATTAAGTGCAATATACTAGGTACATTTCGCTCTTGGAAGTAAAAATCCACCTCAACGTATTTTATTCATGTTCTTGTCAACATAATAATTTTTTTCAATTTTCTGTAAATCCATACCATATAGCCTCAATGATGAACATTCTTCAAACACACTTTTAGAAAAAAAAAATTAAATAATGTCTGAAAAAAATCAAGAAATTTCTTAATGAAATTAAGACGAGCCTGCGTTGGTCATTTCACCACCACTACCTTACTGACTCTGTTGTTTTTACTTACTGTACCTCAACATCAGCAATTTCACTGCCTTGGTGGTATATGGGCTCTGTACTGTGTGTCGCCATGTAGGTCTGAGTATATAAACATACAGAGCTTGTATAATTTCTTCATATGAGTACATAACATTAGGGAAACAGAATACAACTATCAGTGGATGCTGCCTGAGGTAGAGCACCAAAACTCAAATGTGCTGCAAGCAGGTCCAGACCTTTTTGTCATCTTTTTGCTTTAACCATGTGCAGAATTTGAGAGGTGTAAAATGGAACATTTCCCAAAATAAGATCTGAATCGCTCATCCAGTTTGTTCTCCGTGTTACTGGTGACCTGCCTAGGAAGCTCCAAAGCCCCACCGTGCTGTGTTGATTGTATGAAATCTTTAGAAAAGAGCCCATAATCATGCCTATTGGCATGCTGAGCTTCATCTCTTCATCCAGAGAGACAGAAGGAGGCTGAATAATGAAGTGCACCCCTTACCCCTCACCCCCCACCCCGGCTGAGAGGCAAGGAACGCGTTTTTCTTTAATTGTGCACCTGCCGCTCTCTCACCACTACAGTAGGTGGATTTAGATTTTTTTGAGCGTGTGAAAAAAAACACATGCAACACAGCCCCCAAACCTAGCATAACACCTGTCAGCAGCTTTTCTAAAAATAAAAGTCTGACTGATGTATTTTTGTGTGCTGTGTCTGCATCTGCATGTTTAACTCCCTGGTTTCACAAACCCTGTTGAAAACTCGGTCATGTTTACTATATTGGCAATATTACAATTCTCAGGTGTAAAGTTAATTTATGACTAACTGAGTAGTCTTTTTTACTTATGTTTGTATTTTTGCTTTTTGAGTAGTTACTAAATTAAGTTACTGTGATTTCTGCTCAGGAGATACCTAACAAACTGAAAGCAGAGTGTATCCTTGACAAATGTATTCTGTAATCAACAGTTAGTTAGCTTAGCACAAAGACTGGAAGCGAGGGGGAATAACTGGCCTGGCTCTAAAGGCAGCAAAATCCTCCTACAGTACCAACACCTGTAAAACAATCTATTTCACATTTACACATTTATGCATAAACACACATTTTTCAGTCAACCTTTCTTTGCATCAGCTAGTTCTGAACATGCCGTTTCCCCTCGCCACTTGAGCTTCTACCTCTGACAGTATTATTATTAACTGCAGCAACTAGCACCTGAAAAATGAGTATTGAGATAAGGTGACAGCAATGCGTCAGGCCACTGAGTTTAGAAAAAACTTTAAAAGCATAGTCAAGATATTCAAATCAAATTGTTGAACTGTTTTGTCAGATAGCTGAAGGTGGTGTCAGAGCTTAAATGAATGACTAAAGGAAGAAGGCAGCATCATCAGTTATCAGTCCTCTCCAGGACTTCCTAACCCCTACACAGTCCATCTTTCTGGTCCATTTGCCGGTTCATGACTTGTCCGTTTCCTACAGATAACAGTCAGTTGGGGCTCCTGGCCTGTCCAGACACCAGTAGCCTGCATGGTGCACCTGTCTGGTGTCTGCGCTGGCTGCCACGCATGGTTCAGAATAGAGAACAATAGATGGGAAAAAACTTTATCAAGATCCCAGTTCCCAAGAAAGGTGTGGCAGCAGGAAAAAAGTTTCAAACCACACCTTTCCATTCAGACACAGAGAGGCCTTCCATCCATCCAGATGGTGGCAAAAACTGTGATGTATGGAATTCAGCTTTTCCAGCAGAACGTGATCCTGCACAACAAAAGCTGTAGAGCCACTTTAAATTAGAAATGTAACAGATTTCCTACCGTTCAATCTTTGCAGAGACTTTTGCTTGAGGTACATGTTCCGTTACAGAAAACAGTTAGCTATTGTTCTTTTGTCCTTTTGTCAAAGTGACGTAGTTATATTAAAACTGTTTGCAGGAAATTATGATTTATATTTACAGTATAACATATTATCTATGTACCGTCAGCTAACTAGCTTCCTTGGATAATGAACTAATTCAGTACATGTTAGTTATATTAGCAATTTCTATATTAGCAGGATATAACCTACTTCATGTATTCTATGTGGAGGCTAACCTTAGCTGTAAATATTATCCTGAGTTGACGGTACAGAGAAATATCCAATCTGGCTAACTGGCTGTTTTTACATTCATTCTGATATGTTGCCTCTTTTGCATTCCTTTGGGTTAGGTGCTGTCTGTCTGTGAAAATGCTGGCAGCAGCTTCGGACTTGAGACTAGATTTGTGGTTAAATATGTGAAACATGTAAAATGTATTGTATGATTTAGAACAAGGGAGTCATGCCCCTGTAGGTCCAAGGCACCCGTAGACCTGTGTGTTGTGTCCAGATGCAGTGGATCTTGTTTTCAAAAGCCAAACATGGCTGATAGAACTGAACCTTTGCTCTCTTTAAAGCCAAGCGATTCATCACTGTCTGATGTTGTAGATAAAGAGCCGCTTGCCTTCACCTCTACTAACCTCTCACTCCCTTCCTCTACCCAGCATGCCACACTGCGCACCCAGGTGTCCGTTAATCAGCCCTGTGGCTGGTACCGTCAGAGACCGTCACTCACCTCCTCCTCCTCATACGAAGCCTCCTCATTCCTCTTTTTCTTTATCTTTTCCTCCTTACTTTCTCAGCAAACTTTTCATCTACCTCATCACTTTGTGTGAACCTCCCCACACTCCTCAGCTTTTAGTAAAAAAAAAGAAAATCGCTGTTCCTCCATTAGCTGTGAGCAAACATAAGCCTCTCCTAAACCCCTTAAAGGGTAGGTTTACCCTAGGTACAAAAACAATTTCTTATAAATCTTTTGTCTAGCATTACAGATAGTTGGCTGAATCGGACAATAGCGGGGGATTGATTTTGGTGATCACTACCAAAGTGCTAAGTGGAATTAATTTCTATATATATATGAGTAACTACATGTCAAATTTTGCATGTATTCATAAACATATACGTCTAATTTCTATACATAAAGTAGGTCGTCAGCCATGACACTCCACATTAATAAAGATTGTTTTTCTTGTTCATAAGCTAGGCCACATCGAGTATACACCATGATTTAATCAAAAATTAATATCAGTTTGGTGTGGGAGAGAGAGTGTGCATGTGTTGAAGGCAAGCAGAGGCCTCGGTGATCAAAGGTTTTCATTATATACTGTAGTTTGACTCCAAACATACTATATTAATAAGGTAAATAGTAGCACAAGTTTCAACCACTACTCCTTGTAACTCTGTTTTGATGGTTACCTCAGAAATGAGGGGTAGGGGTAAAATGTATGAAATGAGGCTGAGCCTTGGTCCTATGCTATCTGGGTAGGCTAAGATTAGCGTTAGGGTTGTGGTTAGGAATTTAGTTGTGATGGTTAAGGTTACAGGGGTTGGTTGATGGAGCTGACCACTGAGCTTTCCTGTTAGCACATGTCACATTTCATATAAACAAACCTACCAGTCTGGTATTCAAGGACAGGGACTGTGTTGTTTGTGAGCAATGTGTAAAAAAAAAAGTGTTGTTCTGCATGTGTTGGTGTGTGGTCTGTCATTTCCATGTGGCCATTAGATTTACTACATTTCAAACCCCTCTTCTCTTTCTCTCCTCTCAGCCCTCCTCCACTCCCTCCTCTCTTTCACTTGTTTCTCTTTTATTCCCACCAAAGTGTTTTTACATTCACAGCTTCTCACCTCCCTTCATTGGAGCACACAATGCAAAGCAAAGACTCCTCCCTTTCCCTTCCTGCCCCCAGCAACCCCGCACCACCCCCCAATCCCACAGAGAGCTGAATTACCTGGGGACAGCTGAACCCCACTGCAAACCCCGGCTGCAGCAGAGTTCTGCAGTGAGGGAGTAGCCTGTGCTTGCATGGCCGCACATGTGGCCAGAGGGGCCTTTATGTGGGAAACAAGCAGCAGAATACCAATATAAGTTACTGTTTATTCTATAATACAACATTAGAGGTCTCACACAGGCCCAAACTAACAAAGATGTTTCCTGTCACTGAAGTGAGCCAAGAAGTAGAAAAAGAAGAGCCAGGGAAAGGACAGCAGGTCTCTTCTCACACCCTGTGCTGAATGACCCTCACACATTGCTGCAGATCAGGTCACATCAGGAGACAAACAGTGTAGTAGAGCTCTGTACATTCAGGCTAATGGAGGCAGTGAGCAGACTGAGGTCAAGTTGTAGAACAGATCAGGAGAGGGTTTTCACAAATCCGAGTTGGACAGATATCCAACAGTGTAACTCATTAATCTCACTTTGTGACAGAAGGCTCTATCTGGGATTACTTGTTTAGAAGGAGAAGTGAGTTCATCACCTTCTCCGTTGTCTACCTTTACTAGGTTCATGTTTTACTGCTCGTGTAATTTAATTAGTTTGCAGTCACTTTCACTTTTTGTTGATATTAAAATAGAGACTGTGAACTGTGAAAATTAAAATGAATTTGAAATAGTTTTTGGTCATTTGGGGGCAGCACAACAAGCTGTATGCAGAACACTGTCAGGGAGTCATATGATAAATCAAAGTCCAATGTTCCCTCTCTTTTAGCTATGTTTTTGGTCTCCACCAACTCCAAAGGGAAATATCTGACTCTTTAGCTGCTAAATGCTCCACTATGTTCACCAGCTAGTCTCAGACTGTGTCTGTCCGTTGTTTGCTGCTGACCAGGTAGTGTACCAGGTAGTGTACCAGGTAGTGTACAGTGGCATTGTAGAGCTTTTTGTCTGAAAAGAGCTGCCTGTTGCAGCTGGAAACAAAAAGCACTGAGAGTTATCAAAACAGTAAAGACATAACAAAACAATGGACTCAAAAATGCTACAGTAAACCACTTTGTAGAGCTACAGAGTGGGTTCGTCAACCATATCATCCATTGTTATTGTAAAAGTATTGATTATTGCAGCTTTAAACTCAAACAATCGACTGTTTTTGTACCATCAAAGTAAAGTCTGGCGGAGCACTGAGGAGTCGAAGCTGCGTCGACCTCTGCTCCACGGCGCTCTGTCTTCTTCTCTTCCTCTGTATATAGTGAGCAGGACAGGATGCAGCACACAATAAGCACCACACCCGTAACCAAAGCCTGTTTCCAGCGCCATGTGAACAATCCTTGCTTGACTCTACAGTCAGAAAACAACAGCCTTTGTCCACCTCCGCCCACTTACATTAAATCCACACAAGTAGATTTCCAGCATACGTGTGGTTATTCATAAATCATTATGTCATGCAATACATCTACAGATGACACTAAAGGTGTTTTAGCATGTTGGAGCTCACTTTACTGATACCTGTATTCCAGACTACAGCCTGTTATTTTGGAATCTCTTCAGCTTCTTCATCTGCCTCATTTATTTCTTCATTTGAGTTCCTGAGTTTACCAGAATGACTTTTGGACACTCCTCCAGAGATCCAGAACTTGTTGTGGTCCCGTATGAGAGTATTTTCAGTCAAATAAAACAAATGAAAGTTGCCACTATCCGTGTAGAAGTGCACCCAGAAAACTGAGATTTCCCCTCCTTTGAATTCAGTGTTGTTCCCAAAGATGATGCATGACTGCATGACTGTTACAGTAAGTGGTGAAGCCATCAAACTTTTCCTGCCATTTCTTCACAGATGTCTCCAAAGCTTAGGTCTATTTCTCATTTTCTCTGTCCACATCCCTCTTTCTTTCCTTTCCCAGAGTGTGACATTCACTGACCAGAGCTGTCACTGACATATCTGTTTCTTAGCAGGTGACAGCACCCACAGATCCCGCAGCTATCAGTACCAAGACTGTTTTTCCCTCACCCACACATTCCTCACTGCACAGCCTCCAGAAACACACACACTCCCAGCACCGCATGCAGACTGTCAAATCCCCTTGCACTGCCTCCCTTTGAATTCAGAACATTGTATGCCATGTTTTCCTGTTCTGTTTACTTCAACAGAGGCTTACTTTAGTAACTAATTATAGCACCTTAAAAAAACTACATTAGAAGCAAATCCTTTGCTACTTACGTAAAGCTGCAAAGCTGACAAATGAAGTGGTAAACCTATAATTAATTCTAATAATAATAATTCTATTGTTTGGGTTTCACTGCCTAAAATTGTACTTAGTGTGCACCATGTGATCAGCAGACAGACACAGACTACTTGGTGAACATAGTGGAACATTTAGCAGCTAAAGAGCCAGATCTTTCCTTTAGAAGCTGGTGTAGACCAAAAACAGAGCTCTGAGTGGGATCTGCAGTGATGCTGCTGACAGGAGGCCACTTACACAGGTTGTCATTCAGTGGTGTACTCTATGGGTCACTCAGTACTGACTACACTGTAGTATGTGTACTTTGTCTGTGCACTGAGAGTGACTGCAGGGCTTACATGTGATTTGTGGAGAGGGAAGTGATTTTCCACTAAGGTTGAGGAGTTGGGTACAGGTAGGGTGGGTTCCCGTTTTTAGCAGAAAACAGTTATATTGAAACATTGCAATCTGTGGATGTGGATTAATCATTTTCCTAAATACAGAAATATTTCCAGTGGATTTTTTCTGAATTTATGGTTCACTACTACCTGTTCTTTTAATACGTATGTTCCGTGCTTACAGTAATGCACATTTTATTGTATTTGAGCAGCCAAAGTAATAATCCACTTGACACATCAGAATAAATACTGTGATTCTGCAGAGGAAGCGGTAATTGACCTGTTGTTGGGCTCATCCTGAGCTTCTTGTTCCCAGTGATTGTACTGTAGAAACTGTGAATCTGGAACAGCTCGCTCATTTACTGTGCAGAAAAACTTTTAGGTTAACAAGGCCACTATAAGATCACAATGTCACAACAAAAGATTTAACTCATTAATGAAGTGCCACCCGCATAAAGAGCGCTTCCTGCTGCCTGTGTGGTGGCCACAGTAATTTAATAAAATCAAAGAAAAGGAGGACTCTAATCTTTTCAAGGTCATTTCTTTACCAAACGAAGGAATCCTCATTGAACCTCACCATCTACTGACCCACTGCATGACGTGTCAGACCCCAGGGAGAAGGGGTGCGCTAGCTTTAGATGTATTGATTCAGGAAGTTATAGCCTACACTGTTTATTGGATCAGTGGTGTCCAGTTATTTTGTGTATGTTTTAATATTTAGATTATTTTTTAATTACTATTATAATTTGTTATACATAATTTGTAGTGGCAGGCCTGCAACCATGACAAGCTATATACTGTTAGAAAGCTCTAGGTCACACGATATAAGCTATGTAAGGCATTTTAGGGTCCACTTATCACTGCAGCCACCGTTGTCATTTTCCAGCAGTACGCTATATTGCACACAACAGAACAGTCGCTCATCTGAAACTCAGATGTGTCCAAGTGGTCAAAGCTGGACATCATTTTTATCACAGAATTCCCGTGAATACAATGCACCCCAGCATTAGTCCAACAAACATACTGTCGTGGAGAAAAAAGTCCAAAAATCAGTTCTGTTTGCAATTTTGATTTGTTTTGTTTTTCCTTCATCTGGGCTACTGCTAATGCCTTGTCAGGCTTCATACTTCAAGAAAACACCCCATTTCCCTGTGTACAGGTCTCTCATTGGTCAGTAGATTCTGATTCTGAGTAAGCACATCAATCAGCCAACACAAGAATGACCTTCTTTTCAATGCTTCTCAGGGTAGGGACGCTCTCTGGGGAGATGACTGACAGGGAAAAGAACCAATGAGATTAGGAGTTCATAACGATCCCACACAGCCTGGCAGATACAGTATCTTTCTGTGGTCTCTATCATGTTAAATTGCCTTTCAGTGATTTATTGTCATTCTTTGAAGGCTATAAACTAAATAGTATGTCAGTAGTTATCCAGTTTCATTATTTTTTTTGGAATAAACATTTTAATGAGTAAATTACTCTGTTACATTAATTTGTATTGGGTACTGTAACAACATTTTTTTTTTTTTTGAGAAATGGAGGTCTGCCTTGGAAAACTCTACAGAGAACAATGTAGAAAGCTCATAAAGGATTAAATGGCAGTACCAGGAGAAGTGGTTCAGACAGGTGTTACCGCAGGTTTTTCACTGAATCTCTAATACTACAGGCCTGAAAAAATATATACAAAAAAATTACCTTGTTTGTGTCATTGTAACTTTTGTTCGGGATCACTTATATTCATGTTGACTCTTTAGTTTTTACTTATAGCGAGCTGCCGATCAAATGAGACCAGGGACCAATGAGTGTAACCAAAGCGGGTTGAAAAACTTTTTTTGGCTACATTACCTTTGAGCACAAAATGGGGGTGCAGGGGAATGTATTGTTTGTCATCTTTCCACTGATCGGGCTGTTTTCATGCTACCCATTCAGCAGTGTGCAGTAGGTAATCTTTCATGCTTTTTTTTCCTCCTTAGGCTTCCTGTTTCACAGCGTCTGTTCAGAAAACACCACTACTGTAGGCACGACTACAACAATGTCTGTGTTATCTGGTGGTACATCGCCTGTGACAGATACTCAGCCCACTACACCCAACGTAACTACGAACAAACCACAAACTACAGCAGCTGTTACTAGTAAAACCACAATGGTAAATACTCCAACCACCACAACACACCTAATAACAGCAACAGCAACTGTTGGGAACAAGCCTACAGCCTCTTCAGCCCCTCCAGCCACCACCCACCAGCCCACCACCCTAAACACCACATCAGAATCTCCCAGAACCACCTCTGGTACTACTCCTAACGTTGTTACTGTCAGCCCCACCAAGACCACAACCCCAGCTGTCGTTGGGCCTGTGGTAACCTTCAAAGCTACCGATGCACCTCCAACTAGCCCCCCTGTAGCCACTAAAGTCTCTGGGACTAGCATGCAGCCACCAAACAACACAGGGACCCCCAGCATCACAAAGTCCCCAACAGATGCCTCCGCAGCAGGAGAACAGTCCACGACCCACACCACCATCACCTCTAAGACAACCACAGAAGGTAAGCCTGTGAATCCCCCCTAAATGATCTGATTGGAACTCTGCGATTAAGCGTTAATTTCAAACTTCAAGATGCATTAACTCACCCAAGAGAGTCGATTAGAATCAAACCTTCTCATCAAATTTTAATAATTACAGAGATTGGCCTAATTATTATATAAATGCAACCAATTAAACAACATAATGCAAACACAGTATCTTGTAACAACACATCTGTCACAATGTCCAACACCACATGTCCAGTTTTGATTAACTGTAGAGGGATTTGTGGAACTGCAGCTAGTAGCCTGACTGGGCATCAAAATTAAAGGTCAAACTTTTAAATATTCATGGGCCATAACTGACACAAGGGCAGCCCAGCTTTGATGACTAACTGGTTCAGAGGTACCTGCATCATTCCTTAGACTGACTTGTACAGGTTATAGAATATTTATACAAAAACAGATTACAGATTTGGGATAGGAGACATGTCAGTTTAGCTTTAAAGCTACTAACAGAACTGCATCTCTTTATACCTGGTCATTTTCTCTGCCTGATTGTCTGTTGCAGTTACAGGAAAGAAGGATGAACCATCAAGGGCCTCAGAGCCAACTGGGGGCCCGGGGACCACCATCACCTCCCCCACCATGACCAAGGAAACATTTCTTGCAAATAACACCTTAAATACCAAAGCTGGAACCACAACTCTGCAAACCACCACCATCCTCATCGCCTCCACCCTAAGTGCTACCCCAACCACCACCACCACCACCACCACCACCACCACCACCACAGAATTTAAGGTAAGACATACTGTATCAAAAGGAAGAAGACAGAGCCAGTTAAGTTTTCCCATATACCACATATCTGAGAAATGACTTTCCTGCTTTTTACATGACTCCAGGGTCATCGCTGTTTTTAACTTACATGCTTATTTTCTGACTTTTTTCTGCAGTATTCTCTAAACAGCAGGCATGAGGTAAGATTTTACTTTATTTTGAATTCAGTATCTTAAGAGCAGTTAAAAGCTGTTTCGCTGCATATAAACTATACATGTGATAATAAAGACAGTTTCTGCACTGACTTTCATCAAACCTCTCCCATTGTCCTGTTCATGCGGGCAGGCCCACATCCTTCCACCCCTTTCCTCACTGACATTTATTTTGAAAGGTTCCTTGAGTTTAAAGATTTAGAATACTTGTGCAACATCCTGAAGGAAGCAAAAGAACAATAAGAGATGTTGGTTTTATGATATTACATCATATCCTTTTAGGGTGCTCTGATTTTTACATCATTCCCAATGCACGACCTGAATGAACCTCTATTTATGTGGCTTTGTTCATAAAATGACTCTGGTAGTAAGTATCACAAGTAGATGCACAGTGTCTTGAAGGATTAGGCTGGCGGTGTTGCAAGCCAGCACGGACTATGTCCTGCTAAGTCTGATATTTCTGCTTCCTTAGTGCCATAAAGCTCCAGTGTTGTTCAGAAACTAGCAACACATTAGTGAGCCACACTGTTGTACTGAGTGACATTCCTTCGTGGAACACAAACACACACACTGTAGTTTACTGTGACTCAGTCACACACACATGCACCTTACTGTCAGCATTACTACTCATTAGAGCACTAAATGTGGAGAAATCTGCCACTGAAAATAGCCCCCAGCAAACATACTACCAACAAAAAACAACACTGTTTCCTCCAATTTAAAATTTTTGTGATTTTTTTTAAACTGTAAACAATATATGTGAACTAACATTTGCTTATTAGCAAATTCATAACACAGAGCAACATTAGCATGTCCAATATTCACCCTCTTTTAGCTCTGTTTTTGCCTCCACCAACTCCAGACAGAAATACAGTCTGTCCCTTTATTTTCAAAAATAACAACTGCCAAAAAACAAACTGTCAGGGCTGGCGTGAAACCAACAAAAGAACAAACAAAAAACAAGTACTCCAGGCGGTGGCTCTGGGTGGATCTCTGAGCCATCCAGACTCTGTGTTTCCAGCAACAGCACAGGAAGCAGTGAAGTCCTTTATTTAAAAAAAAAAAAAAATCCAGTCACTGGGTGGAAAAAGTGTCTTAGTGAGAACCCTTCCTGCCTTTCACTAGTTTCCTTTATTCCCACACCACTCTCAGATACGCTCCCCCACCGCCCAAGTAGTTGTTCCTTCCATGATATACTTGAAATACTCCTCACATCATCAGAGAAGCACAATACGACCACAGCTGTCAGCTCTGACCTTCAGATCCACACTTCCTGATAGGATAGTAGAGACGTGGCAATGTTTTATTAGCTCATTTATTATTTATGGAAAAGTAAATGATGCCATGTGGTGTTGAAGGATTTATTATATACAAAAATGTTTACAGATGTGTCATTACCTTACCTTTAGAAAGATGAAGAGAAAGATCTGGTGGAGGTGTGCAAGCGGCTGATGGCGGATATGCAAGATGGAAACTGCACCCTGATATGGACCCCATACCACAACGGCACAGTAAAGTTTGACAGTGTGGAGATACGTGGCAAAGGTAAAGCACATGCATCCCTTTAGAAAAGTCACATTGGTCAGTGTAAATTTTCTAAAGATGCAAAATAAAAAAAAATTCAAATTTCTCTTACAGTGAAAACCAGCCTGGCAAACCAGTATTACGAAGAAATCACCAAGGTAAGGGTGTATTCAGTATGGAGATTATCCAAGTACATAAACAAACAGTTCCTGTGTAAGGTGCAGCAGGACACTAACAAGCTCTACAATGTGAAAAATAAAGTAAAGTCATTCTCTTGTTGTGTTTCCACTTAAAGAAAGCTGCAGATAATAAAACCCTGATAGCCATCCTGGCTTCCTGCGGAGCTCTGCTCATCATGATTGCCATCCTTGCTATCTGTGCCTCCCGCCACCGCAAGCCATACGGCGAGACCCAGGTCAGTGATCAGACACAACGAAGTCCCAATGTGTCCAACTGGGGCTTGTCCTGGGGCACCAGGTGTTCTTTGTTTACTTGCAGTTTGTTTTTTTCTGGCCTGCAGAGATGGTGTGCTCCCCTGTACCATCCACTGGTCATTTCCTTTATGAGTCACATTTTTACCAAGGCTAGCAGTATAGTTCTAGAGATGATACTTTATCTTTTTAATCAAGTGCCATCAACAGGACAGCATTTACTATACCTTTGTGCAGTACTTTGGGTTTATGACCAAATACCTGACATCCCCATCAACCTCCGATGTTTACTGCATTTAGTATTAATTAGTGTGTTTACATGCTAAACTAAGATGGTGAACATGTATAATATACCTGTTAAACACCAGCATGTTAACATTGTCATGCTCAGTGTGTAAGCATAAAAACTACCATAATTAGATTGTCTTAATAGATCAAACCAAGCTTCTGATTATCTGCCTATTTAGTTTTCTTTACACTGAACCTCTCATATGTGTTGAGAATGATGGGTACACATTACAAATCCACGCCAACATTGACCACCCAAAAGTTGAATACAAGTTTCATAATGATGAGAATCAACTATGATTGACTTGAATCTAAGTGATATTGCTGCCTTTATACTGAAACATCTCATATATATTACAAATATATATCATTTTGACAATTCATGAAAATAAAACTAAATTTGAATCACTTTTTAAAATCACAAAAAAGCAGTTTGTCAAGACTGACCTCTTAATCTCTGCAGCAACACCTGACTGAGGAGCTGCACACAGTGGAGAATGGTTACCATGACAACCCCACACTTGAGGTGATGGAGGTGCAGCCGGAGATGCAGGAGAAGAAGGTGGCATTGAAAGGAGAGTTCAATGACAGCTGGATTGTCCCCATCGATAACCTCCTGAAGGAGGACATGCCTGATGAGGAGGACACCCACTTGTAGACATGAACAGGGGCAAAGGAAAAGAAGACAGAGACAGTGACAGGACCTGGCTTGTTCCAGCCACAACAAACAAGAGTCCACACTTCTTGCTCCATGCTGGCCCTGCCCACTCAGCTTACACTCCTGACCCTGGGATCATGTCCCTGTAGCTAGAGAAGACTTTCTTAAATAGATGTGCATCCTGTAGAGGAACAAGAGCAACAAAGTCCACTTATTAATGGTGTTGACCTGCTCTGTTTGATGTATCTCTGCTGTATTTGGTGTGAAATAGAAATGAGTATCAACACTTTGTGGATGAAGAACTAATAAGACAGACACAGTGGCCTTGAAAACTTAAAGGACATATATGTTGGAAATCCACTAAATCGATCACTGTTGTACCTATATGGTAGTTTTTATAGACACATGACTTCCTTCAGAGCACAGTCCAGTTCCCTTTGTTTAACCAGGTAAGTTTCCATTGAGATACCAAATCTCATTTTCAAAGATATTAGTAAAATGTACAGGTATTACACATTTTGTATTCTGGAAACTTTTTTTAAAAAGCCCAAAACCTGTGCCTTTCTTTTTATTGTTCTCACAAGAGAGTTGACTTGTACCCACACACCTGTATTTACACTATTTTTGTATTAAAGGAACTGGGCCATCTGGTCACTTTATGTTATCATTTGGCTCCAGAGGCTCCAGAAAAGATGATCAGAGTGATGACAACAAGGTCAGCTGCCTCGTCAGTTCTAGTTACTAACTTAGCTAGATGACCTCAGGATACTTCAAAGCATCCTGGTGATTTTTCCACTTGTATGTATCTATGAAGAAACTGCCAGTGGTTGTAAGAGCTGCACTGGTACAACTGAACACTAACCTTACTCATAAAAAACAGAACATACTCATAAAGACACAGCTTAAAGCAAATGGGTTTACAGAAATTATGATTTCTAAGATGTACAGAAAGCCAGAAGGGACATATCACAAGTATATATTTTGTGTTATGTTTGAAAATACATTTAAATATGTCAAATTGGGCTGAGAGACATTGTAATTGTAAGCTACATTATGGACCAATTAATTGGCATACAAATTGATAAAGAAAATAATCAATAGGTGCAGCCCTAGTCTTTAATTCTGGCCCCTCTGGTCTTCCAAGCATGGAGGAATTTGTTCAGTATTTATATAAAATTCAACTAATCACATTTTAGTTAGCTTTACTTTCTTTAATTTAAGCATAATGCCACATTATTTAAATGCTTCATTTTGAAATCTTAATGATAATTCAGGTTTACAACTTCCTGGGTCTTATTTCTGTAGCTGTAGCAATCATTGCAATCATGATAACTATCAAGTTGCACCAAGTACTTTGCTGATATCTCGACATCACTGCAACAATGTCTGAAACACGAGCAGTCAGAAGATCAGATAGATTTCAAAGGTTTATCCAGATTATGTAAACCACTTCATTTAGAGGTGAACTGAAAGTGAACCAATCTGAAATGATGATGACCCTCCCTCGGAATACAGGAAAACTTTGTGGTCACAACTACAATAAACACAGTCAAAGCTGCATCAAAGATTGAAAGCTCAGTAGACAAGTTTAGTTGCTATAGCCTTATGGAGTGGCTTGGCGCTTAGGCGGCAAATGTTAGCATACTTTAGATAAATATTGGTGTGCAACTGACATTTGTTAGTCACTTGGCTGAATTTGTGGCTCTTCTCCATGTGCTATTGTAGAAGTTAAAGAAGTAGGTGTTTGTTGCTTGTGACCCCATTTTCACACTCAGCTCTTATTTTTACTGTATATTTGTCAGTAATTCAAAATAATTCAGTCCAATGATGATAGGTGTAACATAACTAACCCAAGGGAATCTTGAGAAATTGATTAATGTGACCACTATTCAGCAAAAGCTACACGGTCTCACTTTAATGTTACAAATCACAGCTTGGTCCCCTGGTCTGAAAACTCACAGGTTGGGTAGCAGGTTTACAGTTCACCTTTGTTTACACTTGCAAATAAATTTGTCTAATCTGTTGGTTTTTTTTAAACATTCGTCTGAATGCTCGTGTTACTTGCAAGTAACAATTGTACAATGTAATTATTGCTGATAGGAACGATGGCAAAATTGAAATAATTCAGGCTGTAATGACATGAATGACATGACATTTTACCTAGACCGAAATCTTTTTCTGAAGCCAATACCAGTAAACAACTCACAATTGTATCGACTGTTACAGTGATCTATTTTTATGAGCCAAGGTAAAGCATGTAGAAAAGAAATATCACAAACGGTCATCTCCCTAATCAATAAGAAACCAACTGGACTGACGTGGACTTGGCCTTTTAAAGTTGCTGTTGGTTCATACAGATGTTGTGCTAATAACTGATGCAAACTGTAAATAGTGTGTGAAGTGTCTTTTCACTTTTGCTGATGCTGGCTAGGGCGAAGTCATCTGACCAACCCTCAGTGCAGAACCTGAACACTTTTTTTTTTTCTTGTTCAGCTTAATAATTTACTTCCCTTTAAACAAAGTAAGAAGTTATTTACTTTCACTCTAAACGACATACAAGTGAATCCTCACCTCAGGCACTACAACCCTACTTCTGTGTGTGTGTGTGTTTTTATTGTTTGGTCCACATATAGCTGTGCTTTTTTCACCAAAGTATGTTACTAGTATTTGATATATTTATGGTTTGTTTGCTGCTCAAGGCAAACAGCAGGGGTCTGACACACTGGAATCTGTAAATTGCTGGTCGCACTGGCGGCCATGTTGTTTTATGTTCAGATTTGCAAATAAATGAAGTGTTTTTTTTTTCCACTTTGGTTCTGCAGTTTACTTGGTCAGTACTATACACACACACACACACACACACACACACACACACACACACACACACACACGCCCTCTAGGGGGCAAAACAGCACAGATGCAGCATTTAAGAAAACCTGAACAAAATACAATCTTTATTCATTATATACATTACATACAAAGCTATACTACACATTCGCTGTATCGACAGAGTAGTGCTCATTGATCTGAGAGTACCAGCCTTAAATCTCCTGAGTCCCACCCAGGCATTCAGAGCAGGGTAAGATAAAAACAAAAAAATGGAATCAGCAAACTTTGTTGTGTGGAGGACATTTACCTTAAATAGCATTTTTTTTAAAGAGTATTTGGCATTTCTCTATTTTCTTTTTTACAAAGGTGCTTTCAGTTTGTCTTTTTGAACAGTTTTCTTCTGTCAAAAATGAAAATGCTACAGCAAGCATGATGAGCCCTAATTGTTACCAATATATTATCAATAATCCTTCACATGCCTTTTCTTTTTCTATGATACAAGCATTATTTTTTGCTCTGGTGTGTGTGTGTGTGTGTGTGTGTGTTTTATATTCACAGATGTGTTTCCAATTTAGGGCAATGAAATCAGGAGTAAAACATACATGTACAGACAATGCACAAGCCATCCAACAAAAATGTTACAGCACAAAAACAACCAAATAATTAGAATACTAACGAACAACATCTCCATTGTTGTAAATTAGAGGATTTATCTTCCTCCGCCAATGAATTTAAGGAAAGAGAAGGGTGCTGATGCAAAATTGTCTAGAGGAAAAAAAAAAAGAGAAGAAGAAAAAACCCTGAATCTCAATGTGATGTGATGGTCGCTACTCATCTCCAGTGTCATGACACACAAGGAGACTATATACACACCAGCGAAACATTATTTACAGCAGCAGAGTCACCCACAGTCACAGTAAACAACATCCTTAGGGGATAATTACACTTGATGGAAGTTATTTGTTGTGGGATAAGTGTAAGATGTATCACTTTAAACCAGGACAAAGGAAACAAGGATGCACCAGATACAGATTCCACATAATAAGCATGCTATGTAAAGCATCCAACTGTTCCAGTGGGTGGGTAACCCATTGAGCGTTTGAAGTAAATAAGCTCATGTCTGACATTAAAATCATGTATGAAAAGAAAAGTTAGTACATACTGGGATATACATATATTTGTTCTCTTGCAGAGAGGTAGTTAAGAAGATTGATACCCCTCTCATGTGTACACTAAATATGAAGCTCCAGCCAGCAGGTCATTAGCTTAGCTTAGCACCAAGAGCAGGAACAGGGGGAAACAGACGGTTTTACTGCTACAGCCTTACTTAATGCGACACCTGTGCTTCATGGTAGCTAGCGTTCGCCGACTTCACACATTTTCCTTTCCAGTTCTAATGTTATTTTATGGTTTTACCAAACCCCAGCCTGTGATGTTCGTGTATTACTGCAGTCACATCACTGAGCTAAGCATCCAATTTACTGAAAGATAGACAATAAAAAAACAAAACAAAAAAAAAAAACAATAATTTCATGCTTTCACAAAATTTAGAGAATAAGACTTTTCTAATAATGAATGGGAATACGCGAGAGAGGCAGACTGGTGATGGTGGCTGTTGCACAGTAAATTGGCTTACACCACTATGGGCCTTTGATTTTAAAACAGATGCGTTAGGTGTGCATTACCTTTAAAATGCCAATACAATGGGATTAACTGAAGATAACTAGTTCATGTCTAAGTTTTTAACATCTAACTTCCACTCTGGTTGCTGCCTCATGACTAGACTGAAACATGAAAGAAAAGAATTTGCAAAAGGCCATTATGTTGTTACTTAGTTCTGCTGTTGTGTTAAACTGACCTCATGATCTTCACCTGCCCAGTGTTCTTCAGGCTGACAGACCGAAACAGAGCTGATCCTCTACATTATGATCTACAAGTTGTGGTGAACAGTCGCAGCAGATGTAGCGGGGATGATGAATCATGTAATGGTGTGATGTATCACAGCTGCGGCACTGGGAAAGACAATCATCTGTTGCTTTTGCATGACTAAGGAACACTTCTTTCTGTCCATGGGATGTTAGCAATCATTCCTCTCTTAAGAAACCATCTGATAGTGCCCGACTGAGAATAACGGAGGACAAAAAACTCAAAAAGTGAAAGGTGGGACTTTGAGCGAGCAGTAAGCACCGATGAGCATGGACACCAAAATCCAAGTACAACTTTGTGACAGCGGGTAAACATTTCAACTCTGTCTCTTCTGTAGCTGAACCTGACCTTTGATGTCTTCTTGGAAGACTTAAGTTGTGTCTGACATTAGCTCATCTGTGAGCTATACACTCAAACGCCTCCTTTCTTCTTTCTGTTTATTCATAATACATAGAAAACTTGCTTTAGCATGCTTCCTCACCTGGACAGTATACCGATTTATTTTTGGTAATGTCACACACAGTTTTGACATATCATTTGATACATTTTAGTTTTTATTAAAACTTTGCAGAGTTCCCCGTCTCCATCTACCACAGACAATTTGAACCACAAATCAATTTCACATTCTGCCTATGAGATTAAGTCAAGTATTACCAGAAAAAATAAATACGTCTTTTAATGTTGATCACAGAAAACCCTACCCTGATTTCTGCATAGTGTTTCACCAGGCAAGGACAAAAGACCAAAACAAGAATGAGCCACTATCAGAGCACTCAGCTTTAGAAAGCGGGTTAAAAAAAAAAAACTCTACCGAGTAGAAAATGACAGCAACAAGCTTTGTGTCTGATACCACGCTCACTGAGCTTTCTCCATTCTGACTGGAAGGTGTGGATTCATTGTAGAAAACTGATTCTGATGCCACCCACCCCCCCGTTTTAAATGAATGTGCCAGTAATGAACTATATCCAGAACTAAAACCAGCTTGGTGCTAGGGTTATTTGTGTAATCAGTAAAATAAATACAGATGTTATATGAAAACCACTCCAATCAAACAAGTTTGATAGCTGTGTGAATTTGGATATTCTAATCATGTTATAAGTAGTAGAAATAGGAAACGGTTACCTAGTAATGCAAGCATAAATCTGGGGTACAAGGACTGCACTGCATTAGAGCTGACACTATTAGTCACTTTATAAATTTGCTTTAGCAGCATTTTCTTTTTTTTTTAATTTTGCTTTACTCCAATATGAAGGGTTTCTTTCATTTTTCCGTTTTAAGGTGTTTTCACATTGTCATGGAGAAACAAGGGTTTTGTGAGGCGTATGTCACAGTGGTTGGCACAGAAACTCAAGTAGAAACTCCCGGAGGGTCTGGACACAAAGTTTCCACCTTAGCCACGATACACTACACTAGAGGCTTGAACTATGTCTTCTTTTTAACAAACTTGGTGACGGCACTTGCATGCTGATACATATTGAATATGTTGTCCGTCTTTGCCTGGTCTGAATATGTAGGCAATATGTTATTGCACATGGTGGGAAATTGAGGAACACAAGCAGGCTAATTAGTTTCTGGTCAGCTCAAGCAATGGTTAGCATCGATTGGCTACATACATAAAGTGTAACTGGGGTTGAAGTTCAACAAATGTGAATTTTTGCCAAACCCCCAATGTGTATACACAACATTTACATTTTTTTCTGTAATAATGTGAATATGCCATTATTTTGTTGTAAACTAAATGACTTTAGATTTGGCTTTGGACTGCTGATTGAAGAAATGCATTTTTTAACAATTTATAGAAATAAGATAAATCAATCAAGACAATAATCAGCAGATTAACTAATAATGAAAATAACAGTACAAGCCCTAAATTTAATGTTACTTAAGGCAGAGAACCAAGATCAAAAATGTATTATACAAGTAACAAAAACAACTTTTTTGTTGGTAATTGGTCACGGTAGAAATGGGGTAACACCCAACAAGCTGTATGTTCCATGATTATAGGATGCTTCTGCTGTCAATTTCACTAAACTATTCAGATGGACGTTTGGGATTTTAAGAGAAAAAATTCACCCGCAAACAGAACTAAAATCCCTTTTCCCACTCCAGCCGTCAAATTAGCGGCACAACCACTTCATTCAGACACATGCCTATTATTTTAAATGTTTTCCTATGAGTAATTGAGTTTTACATGAACAGCCAGAAAGTTGCTGTTTATGGACCCTTACTTTTTGATTTTCAATTCAAAAATCTTTGAAAAAACTCCTATATGTATATTTACATATTCTGTACACCGTTTAACCACTTAGAATTAAGATGCAGTCCATGATTTAGTGAGGAAAACATTCTATTTCTTCTTGCAGGAATAACAACCAAAACCAATATGAATGTATATTTAGATAGATGTATCATCTTCTAGGCTCACTGCTGTACTGTTCCTACAACACTAATAAAATGGACTTGTTTAACATGTGAACAGCTGTCACAGTCATAAATATGAGCAAAGCAAACTATCCAAATCACAAAATTGAAATGTGTCATCACTGGAGTTGCTGAAAATGTACTTCAAGAACACAAGAGCTAGAAGTGGTTTCCTGTTTCATGGACGCTACTTGTTTTGTCTTCAAACACATTTAAACTTAACTGTCGCAACAAGAGGCCTGAACAAACATCACCATGATGTGTTGTGTGCTGAATGTGGACTGACACCTGCGGTCGACTGTGTGACCATTTGTGTGAGTACAAAACACAAATGTAAATATTTATATAAAAAAAGAAAACACAAAGAATCAGTGAAGAAAGAGTGCAAACTGTGAGAAAATCCTCTTTTTGGCCTAAATACTTCTGGGATCATGTGAAGATGAAAACCACAAGTGATGTCTGGGCTGAGTTTAGAGTGTTTGCGTGCTCCAAGAAATCTTCATCAGCAAAAACAAAAGAAACACAAGGGCTATCCTGAGTGGGGGGAAAGGAAAACCACAAATGCACACCCACCTCAGGCCACCGTGGAATTTTGCTCATATCCAAATAGCACAGTGTGGTTGATGTGTGTTTATGACCATACTGTCAGGTAACGCAGCAGGTCTGAGAGATGGAGCTGTTTCAGATGAAGTGTACTCCCACCAATAGGGTCCAGAAATAGAAAAATAACTGGTCTCAGTCTCCTCCACAGCCATCACATGTGTGGCTGTTGTATAGTTAGTCCAGTGGATAAAGTGAAGGAGGGGGGGCATGTCAGATTTGAGAGGGGCTAGAGGGTGATGAGATCTACCAGGTTGCCCTTAGGTGGGGTCATGCTGTCCGGAAAGAAGTTGACGAGTGTGTCGAAGAGCTGCGTCCGCTGAGCATATGTCTGGTCTACGTCAGAGAAACCTGACAGAGCCAAGAGCAAACAGAAAACAGCAGTTCATTTCAATTATAGTCTAGTGTTAGAGACAGCAGAATGTCAAGGAAACATGGACAACATTCATTAGCTGCCTTCTTCAACTTCCAGTTTCCCAGAATGCATTTCTACAACAGGACAAAAAGTAGAGTGGTAGGACAGTGTTTGTGATCACAGAGCTGGAAGAAGACTTTTAGTGAGGAGCTCTTATAGGTGCAATACTTTCAAACAAAAACTAAAGTCATAGCTTGCTCACTGAGGCTTACAGTAAATGAACAGCTTGTTTGCCATTTCCAATATAATCTAGGGCTGCAATTAGCAAATAATTTTCATTACTGATTAAGAGATTTTTTTTTTTTCTTGATTTATCAAACTATTGCTTGGTCTGAAAACAGTGAAACATGTCCATCACATTATCTCAGAGAAAAAAATGTCTGGTTTAACATTACAAAGGACAAGAAAAAGCAAGAAATCCAAGTGAAAAGCTGGAGCTGACAACTGAGCTGAATCTATCATTTGCTCTTGTGTGGACACACAATACAATGTGTGGTGTTTAGTATGCACAGATATCGGTGTTTTACCTAGAGGGATGAAGTCTGAGCTGGACTTGAAGAGAGCAGAGGGCAGGAGCTGAAACTGAACCACAGCACAAAGGTCTGAGTCACTTTAACATTGAGCACTGAACAAATAACCATCCTGAGGCGATGAGGCTCAGGCTGCAAACAATACTGCATGCAAACAAGGAAAGAACACATTCTGACTGAGCAAACCTCCATCAGCACCGCCTCAGCTCTGATGTCATGGGACGTCAGCGTAATTCACAAACTGAGACATGTGGCGTGTCAGAAACTGCCTACTTGCCTACCACGTAGCAGGCTAAAACGTGTATGCGAGACAAGTAGTATGTCCGAATTCTTAGTATGGAAAAATATGTATGCGAGTAGTACCCGGATGGCCTACATAACTACACTGTATGGAAGCAGTGGACACTATGCTATCCCACAGTAGTGGCAGGGCAATGCTGTTATAACTCAGTCATCCAAGGACTGTTATTATGCCACTTCATTAAATTTAGATTTTTTTTCAGTGGAGAAAATAACCATCTAGTTTATCTGGTCTATCCAACTAATGCCAATTTAGAAAATTCAACCGATGTTTTCGAAGATGTGATGAGCCTCTGCTACTGCTCTAATCTGCCAGATAGCTAGCTCTACTTAGCAGGCATAGCTGCAGCCATTGTGCTCATATTATCACATTCAGTAACTTATATGTGGTAAGATGTATAATGCGGTGATTCACATAATATAATGCTTAATCTCAAGGGCCGTCTCACCACAACTTTTACCCTCTATAACACTGGTAAGTGAGCAGTGACAGCTATGCTACTACTATTGTGAATGAATGAAGAATGAGCGACTGCTGTCATCACATGTACAACATGTACACATATGGGTCAATTGGTGGCAAGATGACTGCATAGTAGTAGGCCAAAGTTGTGCTTACTAGATGGTGGAGTAACTGCAGTGCCTACTTGTTGGAGAAGTTACTATGTCTGCATTATACCAGTTAAAATATGGGGTTTCTCAATTACCCGCTTTGTTTGGTTACAAATCTCTTCATTGGTACATATACTGTTGTTTAGCTGTCTATGGAGGAGAAATTCAAATGAATTAATGCCGTTGCAGTTCATTGTGTGGTTCACTTTCATATTCTGGGTTGAACATGTCAGGTAGGATTTGAGGTATTGTTTTCTGTTCTGAAATAATTAAAGACTACTTGGAGTTATGATGGGTGCAAAGCTAATCTAGATGTACCCAAGATTAAACATTAAATGGCTGAAAATGAGCATGGCATGGCCACTTTAAGCATCATCAAAACAAGCCATCCTCTGTGCTGCACAAACTGGTGTCTATGTGCAGCCGGCTGCGAGACGAGTGTGAAGAGACCAGTTGAAAAAGGCATCATATGTGTTTTAACAATGTTTCGATTATGACGTATTGATCCAATAACTTGGAAGTCTACCGAAATCTTGGCAATGTCTGTTGTCATTACCCCTGCAACCCTTGGGGCATGCTGTAATTCACATCCTGGGTAGTGGGCTATCATATGGAAAAAATGTACATGCTGTCAAAAATCTGAGAGTACTCATAAAAAATTTGTAAAAATTCCCATTCCTCATCTAAACCTCATGTTCTGTAAGTATCAAAAGCTACTGGAACAGTAAATTAACACAAATAGCATGCTGCTGAAAAAAACTTCTACAGAAAAATGCAAACTTTCCAAAGATCTCCCCAGTTTGGGTGCTACAATGCTGAATATAGTTAATTACACTTACAAATGTCCCCACTAGCTTGAACACTGCTGAGGTTAAACATTTATTTAAGAAACCTGGGTCTAAAGACATACAGTATGTGTCATATGCTGTAAATTGTATGTTGTACAATCTTTATTTCTATCACAATCTGTATTTCTTTAACTGTTCTTAAGTGTTTCTTTAACTACCTAGAATGAAACTGAAACTTAACTTGTAAATACAGTCAAAGTGTATACAAAATTTAAAGCAGAAGTCAACTCCATACCTCTTTGGTCTCATCAGGGTCTTTGTGATCCACAGTGAGCGACAGGTCGTTCTGTAGGTACTTCAGTGCACTCAGCGGCTCTGATTGGGCTTTCTCCTCAAACCTGATCAATCAAAACACAATGAACGTAAAGACTAAATATGGCGCAATAGGGCTGCAGTTTCAACAACCAAGCACTAGATGGCATTCAACCAAATTCAAACATCTGGTTTCTCATCATCACCCCCAGGAAGATTCAATGGCCTTTCCATGACTTTCCAAAACTAAGTTAAAGGTCCTTCATGACATAAACACTGACTTTCCAAAACTAAGTTAAAGGTCCTTCATGACATAAACACTGCTTTCCTCAGAAAGGTTTTTTAATAGATGCTGAAGACAAGATCAACTCTTCCAGTTAGCGCTTCAGTTAAATAAACAGACTGAAACATTATGCATACACCGAGATGCATTTGTTTATAACACATATAAAAAATAAACCTAATAAACTAACCATCTCATACATCTCCCATACCCCCCTTTTTATTTGCTCATTGTTTTATATTGACTTATATAATTATGTAAATAATGTGTCTTTTAAGCCAAGAGCTGCAGGAAAAAAAAATGTTATGCATAATGACAAAGATTCTTGACTTGGCTTGATTTCACAATGTCATTTCCTCAATTTAACCTGCTCTTCTTACCCATAACATATGGTATGACCAGTAATTACTCAGAAAGAGAAAGTTGGGTCTAATGTGGCTCTACATCGATGAACTGAATCCCACCTCATCAGTGTTCATGTAGAAAAATGTAAGCATCCCCACTATTATTCTAAGAAAAATTCAAAGAAATGCAAAACATGGTGATAATAACCAAAACAATGGGGTGTACCTTGATAATACTCAAACTAGTATTTTTCATTTAAAGCTGCATTAACTAAGATTTAGTACAAATTTGGATAAATTAAGTAAAAAATTGTACTGTACCAACACCACCACCCACCACCTGCAAGAGGTGCAAGTACTATAGCTGGCTAACACCAGTAGCAAGCTAATGTTAGCATCTCAATTTTGTACCTTTGTATTGAATTATTCTGGTTGTAATTTGGAGTCATTCCAACTGACTGCAACAGTGCATTTTCCTGGATTAGCAAATGAAGTAATTTTGCTCAGTTTGGTCATTTTTGATCAGTTTTTGTCCAGGCAACACAGTTAATGTTGGACATGACACAGCAGTCTGTATAGCATTTTGGCAAGACGCTGTTAAAATTTATGGCATCAACACAATTAAAAAAGTGGGTCCAACTATCAAAGTTTAACATAATTTCTCTCATTCAATATTTAATTCATGGTTACCTTATAACAAACGTTATGTGTGTCAAGTATGTAACAATGGGCGCGATGCAATACTGGCTACAACATAAGTAGCACAGTATCAATATTACTGGAAAAACCATTTTTCTGTTAAATTTGCTTGTGTTACTGCTTTAGGTAGGAAAAAGGACCCATGTCACTGCAATGCCACTGAAAACCACGGCTCTATGGGGTAGATTCCATACGTGTTATTTCTGGACTCATTGTTACTGATGAACTGACTGACTGTTGAGTCTGTCACCAGCTGTAGTGACCACATGACATAGTTTCACATACAGGGCAGGAGGGGAAAAGAGGAGCAGAGGGAGAAAAACAGGAATTACCACTTGAGTTTGTTTTGATTCTCATTCACTTTCTAGTAGACGAAAGTTAGTTAGAACCAGTTTAACTAAATTTTGTTTTAAAAGTATAAACCGTGTGCAACTGTTTGGGGTCATTTTCCTTGCGAAAGATTCATACACAAAAAGTTTCAGACTGTTTTATTGTACTTATACAGTTTAAAAATCGTGTAGTTACAATTTTATAAGGAGAGTTACTAAGTATTTTATGTAAATTGGTCTGAGCAATACCCCATCTGTTTAATAAGGTCAGAATTAGCACTGATAACACTATCAAATAAAACAGACATGCTGCAGTGGTGGGAGAAGTGTGCTAGCAGTGCCTGCCCGAGTTAAAAAAATTCACATACCTGTATTTCCTGATAAGGTACTTGCAGTGGCGTAGCAGGTACTCCTTAGAGGGCCTACACAGTTTGAGAGACCAGAAGTCATCCAGACGCATCTTGGGAGAACAAGACTTCCCAGGGTTTCCACCAAACAGGTAATGCACCTGGAAACACACAGAATATATGCACTGATTAACTATTTGATTCCTCAGTCTTTCAATATTTAAAAACCTAACAAGTACAAACACACAAAGTCTAAGACAGAGGTTTCTCTCCAGACCACAAAGTATTTCTTTTACAGGCGCAGTGTGGCCAGCTCAGCTGAGCTGTGTTGGTCCTTTGGTCTCTGTGTCTTATCCAATCAGGTGAGAACAGTCTAGAAGACAAGAGCAGGTCTGCAGCGACTGAGAGAAATCAAACTCAAAAACAAATAAGCATGGTCTAATTAGGGGATGGGGACGTCATGGAGCAGTGGTGTACAGTGGGGTGTACCTTGATAACACTCAGATACTAGTATTTTTCACTTAAAGCTGCATTAACTTGGAATTAGCACAAATTTTGATAAATCAAGTAAAACATTGCCTAGAAGTGTTTTCTCCCTGCTGTATTAATACCCCCACCTCTATGTTCAGGCCTAGAGTTTATTTTTTGCCCTCTGTGGGCAGTGTTGTTCAAATCTGCACCACAATGCTTCTAGTGAGGCTCAATTCAAAGGTGGACCATGGAAGCTCCCTGTGCAGGTACAACTCCGGATGGGAGAAGACCTGTTAGACCCAAGAGGCCATTTTCTGTAGCACAGAAAGAGTGCAACAAAGAACAAGGCAAAACCACAGTTATAACTGGTCTGACATGTAGGAGATGGAGAGCATTAAAAGCATCCAAAGGGCTAAAATTTAACGCAGTGTGGCTTTCTTCTTGCTAGGAGCAAGAAGTACTGTAGCTGGCCAATGTGGATATTTCAGCATCATCAGCAAGCTAACATTAGCATTTCAACTTTTTGCCTTTGTATTAAATTATTCTGGTTGTCATTTTGAGTCATGCAAACTGACTGCAACGTTAGTGTTTCTTTGTCCAATGAGCAGAAACCAGAACTTTTTCTGGATTAGCAAATTAAGTAATTTTGCTCAGTTTGCTAATTATTGCTCAGTTTTGATCCAGTTTATGTCAGATGTAGCATTTTTGTGAGAAGTTGTTAAAATTTAGACCATCAACAACTATAAAAGTGGGGAGTTTGTTCGACTATCAAAGCATAACATGAAATTTCTCGTTTCACAGACAAAGTATAAAATTGATGAGATATCACATTAAATGATGTGCTGCTGTATTGTTTTCAATGTAACACAGAAAACAGGTTTACAAATCACTATTTTCAGTTTAAATTTTGATTTTACATACGGTCCCAACTTTTTTCTGATTTGGGGTTGTAACAGGGGCAGCTAAAATAGATGTAAAGACAAAACCTGACTAGTTATATTAAAAATACACTTAAGCGTCAGAAATTAGAATATTGCATAGCATTCACAAGCTATGGGCACAGAAGACCCTTAAATTTATTCTGTGGATCATAGTGGTATCCTGAACCAATCACTCATTACACTTTGATGCGTACAAACAAAAAATGGGGGATGAATTGCAAACTGAAGTATATTCTGAATTCTTTCTTTGCACCAAAACCATCCTTAATAAATCAGGAATCACCCTATTATTCAAAGGTCAAGGTTAAAGTGTTTGTCATATGCACAGTTAGACAAAGGATCCCAGGCGACATGCCAAACCTCCTCAACCTCCTCAGGAAGTACAGCCGTCATTGGGCCTTCTTGACCAGCTGTGTGGAGCAGTTATGTGTCCAGGTGACGTCCTCACTGATGTGGACACCCAGGTATTTGAAGCTGCTCACCCTCTCCACTTCGAGCCCCCAGATGAGTTCTCCTCTCCTTCCTCATGTCCACCATCATCTCCTTCGTCTTGTCCATGTTGAGGCTGAGATTATTGTCCTTGCACCATGACACCAGACCGGCCACCTCCCTCCTGTAGGCTGCTTTGTCCCCGCCCTTGATGCGACCTATCACTTTGGTGTCGTCCACGAACTTTAGAATGATGCTGTCTTTGTGGGAGGTGACACAGTCGTGGGTGAACAGGGTGTAGAGGATGGGACTGAGGACACATCCCTGTGGGGTGCCAGTGTTTGTACCAATGCTGGCTGAAGTCCTATTGCCAATCCTGACCTTCTGGGGTCTGCCAGTCAAAGTCCAGGAGCCAGTCACAGAGGGTGGGGTGCAGACCCATTGTGGACAGTTTGTGGGGGACAACTGTGTTGAAGGTGGAGCTGTAGTCAGTGAAGAGTATCCTGATGTAGGAGTCT